CAGAGAGAGCTGAGCCAGCCGGAGGTGTAGCTGAGAACCTTTTGGTAGCGTCTCGAGGCAAATTCGCTGACCCAGTGATATTGTCCACCTGCTGTAGGTGCCATTGATGCCATCTCGGCGAGGCTCAGGACAATGAAGAATTGACCCGTGATGACCCATGTATAGCTCCAGAACATGGCAGCAGTCCCTCCGTCGACGAGCATCTGGAAATTGTTCAACGCGACAAACTCCGTGCAGCACTTGTTAGTGTCAGAGCACACGGAATAGGGATACTGGGGAGACATATCAAGTGCCCATTGTGCAAGACGTGAAACCAACGCTGCTGATCCAGTTGAAATTCCGCTTAAACTCCTGCTTCTTGCCCATTCTCGCCATATCCCTTTCATCTTGGTCGATGGCATCGCTGCTGTTGTCACTGCCAACTACCTCGGCCGAGTAGAGGCCTTCTTTCTTAGGTAGGCTCTCCTCCAAAGTCGCCATTGTCGAGGCGCAGATTCAGAAGTACAAGCAAAGGAAGGGACATCAGAACAACGAGGGCTGGGACGAGTCAAGACTTGGGCCAATATCGTGGACAAAGGGCAATGATGGTCAACACAGTCTAGGCCTGGAGCACCCATGCATTCGCGGAGTAATATGCATGCTTCAACAATACCAGAACATAAGCTTTCACGGCTGCTCATAGTGGTAAGCCTTGAAAGATAAGGATTCGGGACATGTCCGCAGGGGCGATTGTGGACCAATTGATCTTGAGCCTCGCTAGCTAGGCTTGAGATAAACGTCCAAGTTGGATGCGACAAACCATGCCAGTTTCACGAAAAAGCGCGCAGATAGCATCAAGCAAGGCCAAAATAAACTTACAGTGTCCTAGGAAGCTTACTCGTGCCCGGGAATCTTAACCCCTTCGAGTGGAGGCTACCAACGGAATTCTCCACTGCCATTGCCAGTAGGACGTGAGTGAGTTTGGTTGCGGTGTGAATTCGATAGTGTTTGACTTGTCTCTCACTTTGACCGCCAACTTCATCGAAGCAGCAGGCGGACATGATCGCTGTCCGGCACAATGGAGACTTGGGCCTCCACGTGGTATGAAAACAGTCGGCACCCCGTATTCTGTCAACTAGTTGCATGGCACATCCTCGTTTCGAAGGGTGGTGTACCACTAAGGCATTCACAGCCAAGTGCCGTGGTTCAGTGTCAAGGCTAGGAAATCCACGCCAGCGCCATTGCCTCAGGCCGCGCCTCCATCTCGCTCGATATTCTCGAGACGTGATATTCCACCGCAAGATCTCGCAAATGGGCCTCCCACGCCGGTCAATTGGCGGAAATGGCAATCTCCCAGAAAGATTGCCTGGATAACGAGCCGGCAGTATGCTCAGGAGTGGGATCTTACACGGCACAGGATAGCGTGTCGTCATGAGCAGGGCCTTCGAGAGACTGTAATCTGATCTCAACCGTACTTCATGAAGTACGGTCCCATGTTACCGGCGGAATATACCCTTGACACACCCATAGTTAACGCCATTTCCTGATAGAACACGAGTCAGATTTGTCTGAGCCAGAAGGTCTGACTTGATGGAATGCCAAGGGGAGCGGGCGACCCGTGTAGCCGGGTCCGTGATCAGGTTGTAACTTGTGCATGGCCCTTGGATTCAGACTGAACCCCCTTGTCCGGAGATGTGCATTTTATCTCTGCACGAAGGGATTACCGCAGTACCAAAAGTCGGCGCGCGGCCTAGGCGAGAGTGTTCGTGCTTGCGATCAAGGATCTTCTGGCGCATAAGGATGTTGATTTGAGCCAATTCTGCAGGCCGTTAAGAGACTGAGCATCCTTACATGTCAATTCTAGTCTGCTCAGTCTTCGACCTGATGCTCCCCGCAACCTGTGACTAGCTGCGCGAGGCTGCGCCCCGAGATCTCGTCCGAAATCTTTGTGCCTGCGCCACTCATTTTGCGCCGAATGTTCTCTTCTGTTCGTCTCGATGTTTTGATGAGTACAGCAGATCTCCCGCCGGTAGGTACTTGGGGACCAATTTTTTGCTCCGATTTGTGGGCCGAACAAGCTGTGATGTCGCCGGGAACGGGAGATCCTTTTGAGCAGATCTCAGTTGGACGACCAGATCACAAACAATACTCACATCTTCAGAATGGCAACATGTCGAGGAGCTTTCTGACATGAAGAGGACAATCCTAAAAGAGCAAAAGAGCAGAAGAAACAACGAGGCAATCAACAGTCATGCTCATGTCATTCGCCTGCGCCAAGCCCCAGATTCTCCAGCCGAGGCACAAGCCACAAATCTGGGGAAGGTCGTGAGCTCTGCGTGTAGCATACGGGTGTATTTTGTGTTTTGTAAACATGATGGCTCTGGAAGAGGAGGGAGGTGAGGAGGAGAAGGTGGTGCTGGTGTCTGCCTCCGCCTTTAGGCGACCCTTCTCGCCTTGTTGCCATCTCCGCAACATAAAACACCACCCATTGCGCAACGACTTGTCTCTGAACTCAGCACCGACTGCTCCTAACCAGCTACGAGCATCTTCTCCTCCCACCTCTCCACGGCCTTCATGTCTTCGGCCGCCTCTCTCCAGATTATTGTAGTTGGGGGTGGTATCGCAGGGCTGTGTGCAGCCATTGGGCTGCGTCGTGCTGGCCACCATGTCCACCTCTTCGAACGAGCGCCCACCGCCACAGCCTTTGGTGCCGGAGTAGTGATCGGCTACAATGCCTCCAAGGTACTTACGTCGTGGGGCTTGGACTACGAGAAGTACCACATAAACGTTGCCGAGACGTTCAAAATGGTCAAGGGCGACACGTTCGAGGAGATAATGAGTTTCCCTCCAGGTCTATACGAGAAACTCGCGGGTGGGAGCCGACAATACTATGCCCATCGCATCGACCTCCAACAGGCCCTACTCGGCCTCGCAACTCAGCAAGATGCGCTCGGAAAGCCCGTGACCATCACATACTCTGCTGATGTGGTAGCCTACGATCCTGAGGAAGGGAGCATTACACTCAGGGACGGTACCACACACAAGGCAGATCTGGTCGTTGCAGCTGACGGCGTGCACTCGCTTGCGCCGCACTATCTGCTCGGCTCGGGCGCCCCGTCTTACGACATCTCTCACACAGGGACTACAATCATTCGTTTCATGCTTCCCTCTTCTGCCATACTTTCCGACCCGCAGACCGCACACCTCATTTCCTCCTCTGGACAATTCACCTGGTTCGTCCACCCAGACCGCAATCGCTGGCTCTTGCAATATCCCATTCGGGACAACAGTGAGATTAACTACGGTATGTATTCCCGCGTGACGGCCAACGAACAGGTGATCGAGCAGGTGTCCCGGTTCAAATGCAACCGCGACAGTCTGCGTCGTGAACTCGAAGGGTTCCATCCCGACATTGGAAAACTCGCGGATAAAACGAGTGAGATTCTGCCGGTGTGGAAGCTGGCCGAGAGACCGCCCCTTCCGACGTGGTTCAAAGGGAGGTTGGTCGTGGTGGGCGACGCGGCTCATCCGATGCTCCCGAACCAGGGACAGGGTGCCGGCATGTGTATCGAGGACGCGGGCGCCTTGGGCACCCTGTTCACCAAGATGCGCGAAAACAGTCTCGGAAGCATCACCAAGAGGCTGGAACTGTTCTTCAACTTGCGACACCCACGAGCTTCGGCGGTGCAGTTGATCAGTCACTGTCCGTACTTCGAGGACGCCGTGGGAATCATGTGGGACGAACTGATCAAGGTGGCGAAACCGCAAGACTTGCCCCGGGTCAACGACAGGAACAACATCAGAGAGTGGTTGTTTGCTTATGACGTGAACTCTGAAGCAGAAAAGGCTCTTGAGGCACGAACGCGTGCGTAGCGCTAGAGCAACATTGTCGTCTGCAGGGAGAGTCCAGCCAGACGGAGCACCATAGCGATAGTGGGGACTATCTTTTGATTTTGACAGACATACATCTTGGAAACAAAGGGATTTTCGTACAGGAGAGTCATTAATCCCAAACCAAACCATCAAGAGAAAAGGTATGTGTGAGAGAGAGAGAGAGAGAGAAAGAGGATTAATTTTAGGATAGTATGGTTTGAGGCTCCCCCCCCCCCCCCTTTTTTCTTGTACAGTCGTTTCAGCCTCGCTGCCAGCCACCTTCAGTCCCCGCCCTATGGGGAGTTTCTCTACTACGTACTAAAGCGGCGCCACTCATATATTATTACTCACTACCTACCTAAGTAACCAGATATCTCCCACTATCCTTCCTTCCCCGATAAACTTGTGGCGCGGCTCTTTAGCCTCAAATGCGTAAGTTTGCAACCACTTTGGGAAGAGTAAGAAAGAAAAAACAGGGGGAAAAAACAAAAGGGGTCCAAAACCAAAAAAAACGGAATATAAAATATAACTGTCGAAGAGGTAAGTTGCTTTAACCGTGCATGACCCAGCAAAGGCTGTGTATAGAGGAGGACTCTGTACGAGGTTCTCGGTATACAGAGCGCGGCGGTGGTACGGGAGAGGGGTCGATCAGGGTAGTACCGTAGTGGTAGTAGGGGCGGCAAGGGTGGATAGATACATACACACACACATATAGAGAGAGAGAGGGAGAGAGAGAGAGAGAGAGAATACAGGATCCGCTTTTAGATGGAGAAGCATTTTCATTACGAGCACTAGCCAGTCCCTCTGATACTGCCTACCTACATACATAGGTCCGATCCATGGATGAATAGCTATGGATTGCATAATTGATTCGTTGATTGATTGTGCGAAACAAGAAATACTGTCCATCCAGCCTCAATCCGGCCCCCAACGTGTATGTTGTGTCATTCTGGGTGTAATATCCGGATGAGCAAGTTTCCCAGGTTGTTCGGGCCCAGTCAAAACCTGGAGGCTTGCATGCCGGAAAAAGAAAAGATTCCTAATTACTCGGTAACCCCTACGAGGTCCCTGCCTACATGCTGTCGATCTTGGGGTTTCGGACAGTTTTCTTGTTCTTCTTCTCTCCTTCCTCCTTAACACAAGACCTCTTAGCCATCGGCGTTCCTTTGGTCGGATCCAGGGCGTCTTTGAGCTCTCTGTTCAAGAAACCCTTCGACGTCGACCTTTGACGCGGGGATCGTGTCCTGCTCGGTGACCTGGTAATAGCCTCGCATCTCCGGAAAGACGTCGGCAAATCTCTGGCTGATGGACCAGTGCGACAAGTCACATATGTGAGTCGCGAAGCGGTCTGACAAGGTCATGTTACCCGTCTCGGGGTCCGTATCGATCGCTCCAGCCAATCCATGTTCCCAATTGACGCTACATCCAAGGGTCTGGATGGCGACGATGTAGTCGCGCATATCCTGGACCAGACCGTCACGCATTTCAGGGCTAGCACACCACACCGAGGGGCTTAGCGTCCACATGTATGATTGATGCAAGATGGTGGGCTTACAATATAGGCAGATCCACTCCGGGGTGATGACGGACTAGTCTCTGGAGAGGTGTCGGTCTCATTGCCTCTGGAAGCAGTGCGTATGTCGCTGCCGAAGGTGCGATCGTCCACTAGTTCCCAGTCAACCGAGTGTTCCCCCCAGAGGTGTATGCCGTGAAACTGACGCGCATGAAATGTGCATAGGTGAAAATCCATGCCAGAGCTACATACGTGTCGAAGTTCTTCAGGAGGCGCATGTACTCACAGGCCCAGGTCGCCGGTGTATGGGGGTCTTCGACCCTGCGATTGCGAAAATAGAGAGTGAGGTCCACCCGTGGAGGCCCCAGAACAAATTCGACGGGAAATCCCGACGCCAGTTGTCTACGTCCATAGTCGCGGAAATCAGTATATACAGCAGCTATCGGACATCGCTCTCCCTCGAAAAGCATCGGTTGGATGAGGTATTCTGGAATGTCAAGATTGATTGTCTGCTGTTGCTGCGAGATCAAAACTTGACTTGCCCTGATCTCGGGGGACAAGAATGAGGAGTCGCCGAATATGCTGACGAACTCGACGCTGGGAGTATCGTGGGTCGTTGAACAAAAGATGCGAAATTTGTCTCTGGGATCGCTTTCCCCCGATCTCTGCACATGCACACCAGCCAAGATTGGCAGATACCATTGGTCGTCGCGCGAACCTACCGGATCGGCCCATGCGGTAGAGGGGCCTGCTCTTGTCGCAGAGTCGTGGACTCCTTCGGGGAAAATCCCTTGCCGCCGAATCAACTCTTCCCTTTGACTCACATCCTCTGCGAACTCATGGCGGCTCGTCTTCTCGGCGTGAGCTGAAGCCCAGGACCCTGGTGTATCAGCGCTCGACGATGTGGTAGCGTGTTCGGGTATGTCCATGCCGAGCCTTTGCACGAGCATCCGAGTCGGAATGTCATCTTTCAGTCTCTTTCGAATATCGTCATCTCCGGAGTGGATCAGTCGGAGGAGGCGCTGCAGCAGCTGCTTTTGAAGGGTAGACTCGGTCTCGGCCCGTTCCCAATGGATTTTCCGTCTTCTGTCGAGGGAGGCGTCGTATATGCATTTGAGTCCTGATCGACTGCAAGCAGTACAGGGATTTCCCCCAGAGCACTGATGCGCGAGCAAACAATCAGAATACCTTTGATAGGGCGTGTTGGGAGGGGAGATACCACCTTTGATTTTCGGATCTTGCAGCTCAGACAAGCTGTCGATGCTTTGCGCCGGGACGAGCTCGAGCTCGAAGCGGGAGTGGAAGCGGCCGCCTCCATTCCAGATGAGATTGGGCTCCTGGGCCTCCGCTATTGGGACGGGGACATGAACCTCTCAGTCGAGTCCAGAGTGGCGGCAACGTTTGTGGTCATCTCTGATGTGTCCCGAACTTCTCGGATCTATCCCGTAGAAGAGAGATGTAGGCAGCGGTCACACGTATGGTCGATACATGGCCTCAAAAATTGGATATAATGATACCGCTAGTTTTGTAGAAGACTTATGTAGGAGCATAATGGTGACCTTTAGTAAAGCACGAGTGACATCCACGTGATGCTCTTTTAAAGTGACGTTGACTTCATAGTCGTATAGGGCGGCACTAGGCTATTCTGAAAGAGGCAAAGCCGTAGAAGGATCGCGGGGCCAGCCTTCATCTTAGGGACCATTCCATTTAGGGGTTTGTTCTGATAACGGCTAGCTCATTGGGACGCGCGACCTTCCCTAAAGCCACACTTCCCCTATGTACAGGGGGGGTGCATGTACGGGCTGACCACCCCCCCCCCTAGTCTGTTTAAGCGAATCGCTCGTTGGTAGGTAAACTACTGTTGTTCTACCACTTTGTATGACCACCGCGAGCGTCGATAACTGCCTGGCATCGCTCTGGCATACTCTCTATATACTTCATGAAATCCTCAGGCTGTAGTTTATCCCATTCCTCGAGTAGATATTGTTGAACTTGTACGTCTGTCTTTGGGAATCGTTTACCTATTCGATATTTCAATAGACGCCAGATATTCTCGATCGGATTAAGGTCAGGCGAATGGGTAGGCCAAACCATTCGAATTACTCCGTGGTAGGCGTGATAACCTCTCGTAAGTCTTGCCGTATGAATCGATGCATTATCTTTCATTAAAATACTTCGCATAAAGTCGACTTCTCGCTCGATCGAGCGAAGATGTTGATAAAAACGTGGAAGGACGCGCTGTGTATATATCTCTGCATTTACCTTACCCCAGGCCTTATCCATAAGGATAAGAGGACCCTTTTCTACTCCTGAAATCGCTCCGTACGCCATTACAGCTGAGAAGCCAGCGAACTTTGGTACGAGATAGGAATGATGAAATTTCTCTTCTACAGTTCGAGTAACGTATATCTTACCAAACGCTCCAGTTGTAAACGACGCTACGTCCGTCCAACTAACGCGCTTCCACATATCGTTATTCTAGCTTTAGTGAGCTCTAGCCCAGGCGAGTCGAGCCTCCATATGGGTAGGAGTAAGGAGAGGCTTCTCCTGCGCAGGTCGACGATGGTATTGCTCCTTTTCGAATGCAGTAATTAACGAGCGACGACAGACTTGAATATCTTCGATTATAGCGATCTCCTCGTACGTTAGGCGACGATGATAGGCATCAAGAGTTGCGCGTTAAACGAGTCGTCGTCGCTTTCCTGTTGTTAGTATAGGTGTACGACCAATTGGCCGTTTTGGAGTGTAAAGACCTGATCGGATGCATTGTTAGACAGTTGTTCGAGCGATTCGAAGCTCTCGAGCGATTCGAGATATATTCCACCTGGCTATAGTAGATAACGTCAGGATCTGCGTACGTTCACGCTCCGTTAGGCGTTGACCTCGAGTTCTCTCTGGGTCTGCGTACGACTTGCGATTTTTGTGCTTCCCAGGCATCGTAGGCGGTAGGCGGTAGGCGTAGGCGGTAGGCGCAGGCGGTAGGCAGTAGGTACAGGCGGCAGGCAGTAGGTACAGGCGGTAGGCAGGCGGTAGGAGTAGGTACAGGAGTAGAACAGTAGGTAGGCGCAGGCGTAGAGTGGTAGGAATTTGTCGTACAGTAAGCAGAGACAGGGGGGGGGGGGTGTCAGCCCGTACATGCACCCCCCCTGTATAAGGTGTTGCTCCTGCAAGCCGTCAACTGGTGCCAAGGAGGGTGGGTACCTACCCATCTGGGTTGCAGTGTGACCACCTCCTACTGTAGGTACTCCTGACACAATTTGATAATGTTTATTAGGCAGTAACAGGGACAACATTACTGTCGTCAATGTCACCTCCAACAAGACTTCTACTTGAAGGTCAGGTAAAGGTCGGCACGCGCTCTAGAAATTTCTGCTCCATCTGAATCTGCTGTAATGAGACGGGCCGAATGACTGGGCTCATCAGCATTAGATGGCGAATTGCATCAGCGTGAGACTTGATAGCAGCTTCATCCAGACGTTCCTGAACGAAATTGAGTCTGTAACCGGCATAACGATCTATGACGGCTCCCCAAGCCTCGAATGAAGATGGTGCCATTGTCAATTGCCATGTACCTCTCCAAGTGATGGTAGCCTCTTGTTTGTTGTGGAACGCCTGATACTTGAATAGCGCCGCCAACCCTCGTCTTCCATTCCAGATCTCCATTGTTTCCAGTTGTGGCATCTTCATAGCCGCGGCCGCGGCCGCCTGAAGCATAACTTCAATCTGGGCAGGATCCTGATCAGGCGTAAGTAGGCTTGAAGTAAGCACGATCGAGCGCATATTTGGCCACTCCCAAGAGGGTTCGACGTCAAAGAAATGGCTAGCATCTACGATGAAAGATGCTGCGAGATATTCAAGGTTGAGGCTGGCGAGTCCAACCATCCGACTTACAGCCGGAGTTGGCTTGCGATGACTGTCACATTCGCTCAGGACATCTCCGGCTAGGACTTGGTGCATGATCACTGGATACTGTTGGTTGAAGTTCTCAAAGACCACAAGTCTCTTGAGATTTTTGTTGAATCGTGGGATGGCTTCGAAAAGGTACTGGAAATCTGGATAACGGATGGGTGGATTATTAGCAATTCGACTAACTATAAAGGTGAGAGCAAGCAATAACAATTGAGCAAGTAATGCAAAAATTACTCACGTCTATCTGTATACCTCTGTAGGAAACCCCATTCCCTCCATGGCTCGTAGTGGACTTCCTGGAGTCTGGGAAAACGGCCGAACATATGTGCAAGCGAGCGCGGCTTCCATCTCCGGCGGTTCTGCTGCCGGAGAAGCATAGTGGTTATCGCCGGGACTGGTGGAAGCTGATCCCACCATTCGAGCTCTAACTGCTCGCTATCAAACGGTCCCTCCTCCATGATGGAATGAAAAACTTTGCAGATAGCACAGTAGGGCGAAGGGGAGTGTCGAAAACCAGTGACCCAGCCGTGTTGAGGATCGTCATAGACTTTATTTGGTATCGTCTGCTCCATACCATCACCTAGCATATCGAGAGCGATATCGGGCATGAAGGTCAGATATGGGAACCAATGTTTGGAGTCACTAGGCGAGTAGATACTAATGTCGAGTACCAAATTGTCTTTAAGGTCCCATGTGCTTAGCACCGAGAACAGATTCTGGAACGCCGTGGTGATGGGATAGCCACCTGCATCGTTGATACTGAATGCCTCTTCATACTCGTCCTGTGTGAGCGTTCTGCCGGTAGGCGCACACTTGGTGCAACCATAGTCATCGAGTTCCAAGCAGAACCAGACGTATTCGACGAGAGCCCGATTGCGGTGAATCATCGAACCAAAATCGACGAGGCGCGACGGTGTCACTTTGATTCGTGCAAAGTTATATCTCTCCAGCTCTGTTTGCCACTCTCGACATACGGTGGCTAAGCGACTCACTTTGCAACTGTCTAGCCTCAGAATCTGTAGAATATGACAGCGGACTTCCTGGGGCAAGAGAGCCCATCCTGAAGCCATCGTTTCTTGCCAAGGGATATTTTCAAAAGTTAGTGTGTCTCTGTTGTGCTCCTCGACCTTCTTGGTGTTTTACTTTTCTCAAAGAACCCTGCTGTGTCTTCTCGGGGTAGAAGACGGGACGACATTTTATAGCAAAAGTCCATACCTCCAGATGCAGGACCTTCATCTTATTTCTCGCGTCCCGTCCTAGTTCAAGGTCCTCGATGAGACTCCTGGAAGGCTCTCTTGCTTTGTGTGGTACCTTTCATGAGAATTGGTTACACCTGTTGGGTTCCAGCCTTTTGACGTTCTTGGCAAGTGGGGCCACCTTCAGGCTTCCACTTTTCTTCCGAGCCTTGGCAGTGGGAAAGTGGAGGGAGTACGAGGTACGAGGTACAGGGCAGCGTCACCCTCCTCCCGTATGCAGATTTATGTACCAGACGCTAACAAAAGATTTTCCGCACCCTTCATTCTGCCCTGTAACTTAGACGACGGCGGTAGCGACACCTCTTCCGAGTCTCGCAAAGGTTTGAGGCAGGCTGAGCAAAACCCAGGGCCATCGCACACGCTATTGTCATTTTCATCGCGACCTGAGATTTTTTAATTTTCAAACCCCCCGCATCTCTTTCTAAAAATCTGCCATCATGAGGTTCGCTATACCTACATCCCCTCGACTCCTCCCTCCGTACTTCTCATTTGCTACTGGGCTAACAATCCCTGACCTCTACCAGGATCGAGACGTGCCACCTGTGTTCCCGTCCCGTCTACCCCTCCAAGGGCATCACGTTCGTGCGCAACGACGCCAAAGTGTTCCGATTCTGCCGGTCCAAATGCCACAAGAACTTCAAGATGAAGCGCCAGCCGCGCAAGCTCAAGTGGACCAAGACGCACCGGGCGCTGCGGGGCAAGGAGATGATCGTCGACCAGAACCTGCTGCTGTCGCAGTTTGCAAAGAGGCGCAACGCCCCCGTCAAGTACGACCGGAACCTGGTCCAGGCGACCATGCGGGCCATGGAGAGGATCGAGGAGATCCGCGCGCGCAGGGAGCGCGTCTACACCCGGCGGAGGCTGAGCGGCAAGGCGCAGCGCGACGCGCGGCGCAGGCAGGACCTCAAGGTCGTCGCCCAGGGCGAGCACCTCATCAAGAAGGAGTTGGCCGATCTCGAGGTCGCGCGCGCCGAGATGGAGCCCATGGTCGAACAGGTCAAGAGGGATTTGGAGACCAGCAGGGTCGTTGGGGAGGAACGTCTCAGACAGAAGAGGAAGAGGAAGATGCTGGTCGGTGGTGGCACCGAGGAAGACATGGATCTGGATTGAATTCGCTCAATCTCAACCTCATCCTCAACTTCCACGCGTTACATCTCGGACTGAAGGACTGGACGAAGCTGATGCGACTATGATACCCGGCGTTGCGACCGTTGAGACACATCTATTTTACTTAGACGTTAGAAACGAACATTGGTCTTGCGGAGTGGGCGTTTGATAGGCGTGACAAAAAAGTGATATTTGTGGATTTTATTCTCGAGTCTGTGAGAAAGTGTACTCTGGGTCACTAGAGGAGGAATACGAAATAGCTGGACAACTTTCAAGACCGAATACTGGCGGCGTTGCAACGCCCTCCATTGACGGCTTGAGATTCCAGATCGAATTCATTACTGAGACTGCTACAGCGACCAGATCAAATATCTCGTAAACCAGCCCACACGCTCAATCTCATATGTCTCCTCCAACACGATCAGGAGTGTCGTATTCCGTCGGTACTGCTTGTCCCGCACCTCCAGCCGTGACCACGTAATGTTTGAAGTCCTTGGTCTTGATGTTGCGCTCGAACATGATGTCCACTTCCTGGAAAGTTCTTCCCTTTCTGTGATGGACGCAACAAAGGATCAGTTACAGTCAAATCATCGTCGGATAGGATCTGTCAAGAGTGGGATAAAGAGGGAGAACTCACAGTTCAGGGACTCGGAAGTACGACCAAGTCAGACACAACGCCGCCAGTCCGCCAAAGAAGAACCCGAGTTTGCCCCGCATGTTGGCTTGATCGGGGTTGATCATGTAGGGAATGGCAACGGTCATGACGATACCGGCGGTGGCTTGGACGGCGGTGGCGATCGCGATGGTCTTCCCGCGGACTCGGGTGGCCGACACCTCGCAGAGGAGGACGAAGCACACGGGGCCGATGGACAAATCGTAGATGAAGTTCCAGATCAGCATCAGGACGCTCTGGGCCCAGGAAATGGAAGGTCTGTTGTCGTAGTTTGGCGCGCAGTCAAGAATTCCGATGATTACTTGGAGCACTGCCAGCAGAGCCAAGCCAGTGTTGTAGATACTTCGACGACCGAAGTAGATCAGCAATATCCACGAGAGACACGTGCCGACAAAGCCGATGGCAAGGAAGCCAACGCCCATATTGAACGCTTGGTCGGACGGTAGGCCAGCAACTGAAACTGGGTGAGCAAAGTCTTGAGAAAGAAGTAGGACGGTCCATTTTACATACGTGTGAAGAAGTAAGTGGCATAGCCGACAAGGTAGATACCAGAGAGGACTTGGATGGTATAAACGCCGACGGCAATCTCTGTTCTGCGGATGTTGATCTTTTTGAAACAATCCCGGTACTACACCAGCTGTCAGTTCGTGAAGCTTTCTAGTGTGCCAGCCTGAACAGAAGAACTTACAGTAGAACCCGCCTCAATCTCTCGTTCTAATCGGTCCGTCTCGATGATCATGGCCAGTGTAGGCCGGACGTCGACCTTTGGTGAGGCCAGTCGCTTCAGAGCCTTTTCAGCATCCTCAAACCGACCCTGTCGTTGTAACCACCACGGGCTAGGTGCAGTTAGCAATGGGATGAAGATGGATGAAATCAAGCGCTCTAACCTTTCAGGGGCAAATGGCAAACCGATCAGAATAACCAACGGCCATAGCCATTGAATCGCAAAAGGCGCACTGTAAGCCCAATGACTGTCGAGAACGTGTGTTCCAGCAATGACCCCATTTGCAATCAACTGGCCTGTCACGAAGCAAATGTTCGTGCAGGAAGTCAAAACACCTCTGAGAGCCAAAGGACACACCTCTGATGCGTACGCGGGCGCAATCACGGCATAGCTTCCCAAGACTAATCCTCCAAGCAATTCACCCGCGAGCAGGACGGGAAGCGATCTGGCAAAGAACTGGATAAAGACGAAACCGGTGGTGAGGATGACACATGCTCCAAAGGTCTTTTTGCGCCCGAAGGCCTCCATTGGATAGGCCGCAAAGAAGGCTCCTACTACTTGCCCAATGGGTGAGCCCATACTCAGGCCGGTCTGCCAGGGAGCTGAGACAATGTAGCTTCCATCGTAGAGATAACCGAAGTCACGCTGAAACGCCGGAGTCGCATAGAGCTGGCCCAGCAGTTGAGGATCAAAGGCACACCTGAACATCCACTTGTTATCGTTATGTACGAGTGCTCCGTTGAGGCGGTCTCTTACATGATGACGCCCAGCGAAAAGAAGAGAGACCATCCTACAGCTGCAGGATACAGCCTGGCTGCCTCCCAGAAGGAATGCCCATGTTCTTGATCTGTAGCTGCTCGTGCCTCAGCGTTTATGTCGTCAATAGACGCGGTGGCAATGAGGCCCGCGGGTTCTTTTCTGATCTCAATATCCTTGTCCATATCTGTAGTTTCCGCTGTGAGCGATATTGATCAGGTTCCTCAAGAGTTGGACAAGGAGAGCGGACAAGGAGGGCCGGGTGACAGGCGTCGGTCAACTGATAAATGCATGCGAACACGTCTGCGTTATCAAGGACGATAAGACCACAGGAGCAGAATTCAAAAATATTCGCCGCTTGACTTGACCCCTCCTGATGGTAGCGAGATACAGCTGACCTAGGTAAATGGCCACGGTCTGAAATGGAATGGTCTCTCGTCGTGGAGTGGGAAAATCATGGCCACGAGGGCAAAGCCTCACCTTTGCTATCGACTTGAATTGCCGGGGCTATCTGATTCGATCGGCTCGCCAGCAACGGCTGTTGCTCGTCTGACTCTTCGATAGCATCCATCTTGTTGTCTGACTCGGTCCAAATGGAAGCGAGGAAGGCCAGGTTGAAGCCAGGATCGTCGTGATAACCCCATGCGATTGTACTGTTACATGGAGAAGCAAAGCAGGCTAAGGGCTCAAAGAGCCAGTCCAGGCCATCAAGTGAAGCGGGGATCTGCGATAGATGGGATATCAGAATGCTATCGTTACATTGAACAGAGGAGAAGTTGGAGTTGTTCACGATTGCCTGGAATGAATCGGGGTGATAGGACCGCGTCACGTGCGTGTCTGGACTACGACTGAGCATGTGCAGCAGAGACGTAGTACAGTCCATCACTTTTCCAGAAGCGCAATATCAGATTACATAATGCGGCAACGTGCGGCTGTTGCGGCACCACCAGCCACCAGCCTAATCATGCGCCATCACAAATTCTCCTGCAACCTGATTACTACCGATGTGGCTTGGTGCTTGTTGGCACATCAAACAATAACATGGACCTTCCCCGGAAAAAGATTCGGCGGATGGTGAATAGCTGTCTCGAGTGTAAGTTGCTTGCCTTTCGCTGTGAACACCGGTCGCTTCCTCTAACAAGCTCCCAGGTCGAAGGCGAAAGATTCGTTGTGACTTGAGTACAAATCAGTCCGAGAAATGCACTGCTTGCGCCGGTCGCGGTATTGCTTGCGAGAGATGGGAGCATTCCGCTGATGCTCCCGACTCTCACAACCTCGAACTAAGCGCAAGGCTGCGACGTGTGGAATCCCTCCTGGAGAAACTGACCGATGTTGAATCGCTGGATGCCGTGGAGGCTGCCCTGAATGTCGGGCCCCGAGGTGGATCGATCACCGCACCAATCGAAGGGCCCACTCATTCACCTCTCATCTCTCTATTCGATAACGCAGTTGTACGTTTAATGAGCCCACCGTTTCGCCTTACTGGTTGGTACATGGCTTACGGTCATAGTTCGGACACCAAGAGCAGACTCCTCTGTCAAGCGGGACTGAGCATAGCAACTCATCCCAAGGTACAGGAGGTCCTCAGAATGCTAAGCTGGAGAAGCTGCGACTGGTGCTCAGCGCACTCATCCCCACGCAGGAAGATGCAGATCTCATTTCCAGATCCACGGTGAGTGCTGGGCAGCGATGTGACAGATCATGTTTCTAACCAATTCTCTGAAAAGAACGCCTGGGGTCTGGGTCACTTACTTTATTCTCCCCACGAACCTTCATTGAGGGCGAATGTTGATATAACCACCTTGTCAAAAAGCTCGCCGCTGATTATAGCACGCACGCTGATGCGTTTTGCAATTCTTATCCAACAACTGCCCCCTGATTTTGACACCTCGAGACTCCAATTCAATTCTCCTATTGAAGCCGTCCTACAAAAGTACCTCTACTATGTAGCCGATCTCGTTACCTCGAAAGATGACTTTGCTTGTACAATGGAGGGCTGGGAATGTCTTCTCCTGCAGAGCATCTTCTACATCAATGACGGTAACCTACGCCGAGCTTGGTTGGCGGCTCGTCGAGCTTTATACACCGCCCAATTCCTGGGATTCCAAAAGAGCTATCTGAGGTGTGTTAGAGGTTCAGAAGACGAAGGACCCTGTGAACGAACCAACGCCATGCTATGGGTCAGAACCGTCATGATTGATCACTTTCTGGCTCCTATCCTTGGTCTTCCATGTGGCGTTGGCAACGACTGCTTTGGTGAAGAGGGTGTGCTAGTACCAATCTTGACTTTGTCTGATGTTTTTGAGCGCAGAACCTGCTTGATTGCCGGGATGGTTGCTGCCAGGAACCAAAAGGAGCCGGCCCCTGGATATACCACCACGCTGGACATTCACGAAAAGATTGAAAGCCTTGGAAAGGATATGGGCGACATGCTGACGAAGATTCCAACATTATCCCCGTCGCCTCAAACCTTCCCTGGACATGATCCTTTCAAAATGGTCCTGATTCAAATGTGGATCTATCAAATCATGATAATCCTCCATATACCTTGGATGCTGCGAGCATTCACCGACAGCAAGTTTGAATACAGCAGATATGTTTGCCTGGTTGCGTCGCGAGAGCATCTTCGCCGGTATCTTGCTCTCCGAGATACAAACAACACTCAAAATACGGTTCGGGTTGTTGACTTTGGTACCGTCATTGCCGCCGTGACACTGATACTCAATCGGGTTGAATCTGCAACACGAGGTGTCACCACGGCTGACGGGGAGAAAGACATGAAACTGGTTTCCAAAGTTATCGAGTCCATGCGAATCGCGTCTCGCGGGCCACGAGAGTTCATGGCTCGTCAAGGTGTTGAGGTCATGGAGGCGCTTCTAGCACTCAAAGATGGCACCAGAGATCGCAAAACAAACGACACACTGCGATTTACCATACCATTCTTTGGCCCTGTCGTCATTTCCAGAAACAACACGCCAGCTGGTCCCACGCCAACTTCCGTTGCACAGGACCTATTCGATGGACACGATCCGATCGATACTCTTCTCCGGCCAAACGATGTTCAGAGCAGCCAGCCATTCGGTGCTAACACTAACGGACCTGTTCACGGTCACCATGTATCATTTGAGCAAGCAAATATACCTGATTCCGGTTGGATTCCTCCTTTGCAAGCGTGGGACTTTGACACGATTCCAGCATGGGGCGGCTCATTCAGCTTATGGGATGTGCCCGACAGCAACACCTGCGGCAAAGATCCGGTCTGATCATAGCAAGAGTTGAAATCAATGCGGAAATCGACAGCAAACATGTCTTTGACGTCAAGCCGCAGCTGATACCATAGAGATAAAGTCTCTGTCAACTTCTTCAGAGGGACAGATGATTGCAGAGAATATTAGGAGGACTGGCTCCCCCTTTTCAAGAATCCTTTTGAGCTGCAATGAGGTGTCCTCGGCCGAGTGGTCCGATTAACCCATGTGCGTACCATGCATATTACATGGGGCAACCAGTCATTACTTCTCTGCAGGCTTGGTATTGTGTTTCTTGGTCACACGACGGTGATATGAAGATTCACGAATGCATAGATGAAGGTATCTGCGTCATCACTTTCCTGGCCGTTTCGTGCATATTGAAAAGGACTGCTCTGATCTCTTCAAGGTAGGAGAATGCACGGTCATACTATCACGATAGACGGCTTGGTCCCTTGCCTCAAGAGTCATTGGGCCCCTCGCCCGGGGAGATACAGGGGATGAACAAGGCGATTGGGCGAGTGTGCGTCAAGCTGCAGAATATCCCTGTGGTTTTGTCAAGCAAGAACCCGGGGACTCTTCATGGCCTAAACTACCGGCGGACTGGGAAACGCAATGACATGCGTAATCTCCCAATACAGACGAGGGAACATGTTTACGAATTGATATGGGAAATTCTGCTCCAGCATCCCGAGATCCCATCCTACGACCCTTGTAACGATGTACCACCTGCGCTAAGAGAATATAATATACAACGCCAGCCAATCAATCTTGTGTGTTGACTTGATCACTTGGCTTTCCGGATCGCTTCCCTTCCTTTCTCCAAAAGTGCGGAATGATAAATCATGTATTCAGGGTTCCCCTCCAAGGCCGTCTCGATCATTCCCGCCGCGAGCACCCCCACGCCGATGATAAGTCTGTTTCCGATTGTGCCTGTGTGGATACCGACGATGTACTTGGGCAGCACGAGGCCTGGTCTGCCCACGTATGACTCCCAATTCCCGTCGTTCTTGTTCTGCTCGTCGGCAAATGCGAGCAGTCTCATCTCCCCAACTCCCTAGGGTAGACTGTTAGCAAAAATGGAGATCTCGGAGGGTGTGTGTGAGAGAGAGTGTGTGTGTGTGCACATCAATACATACCTTGGCCTTGCGCGTCGTGGGTTTAAACCACAGAGAAGCATTCTGGTCGTGTACCACAAACATGCCGCTCAGGAGGACCATGCGGAACAGCTTAGTCGTTGCTCCATTGCGGGCTTTGGCGATCGCTTTGCAAAGCGCGAATGGAAGGTCGGCCTCGACGTCTTCGCCGCCATTGTATGTACCGATCGCCCTTTTTCAAGCGTGTTGGTCATTTGATCCGAGAAACGGGACGTGACTTTCCAAAAAGCGGATTGGCCTTCTTACCAGATACAGAAATCCGCGTCTTTGAACTCCTCCAGAGCCGAGTCCGGATAGTTCCCAAAGTCCTGGATGATGATGACTTTGACCTTTGAGTTACTCGCAGCTGGCTCGGGTATTGGGCGGCGCGAGAGGACCACGAGTGACGTGATGCGTGGATGGTCAAGGCATTGGTTCAGGATTTCTCCCCCAATGAATCCCGTGGCTCCAGTCAGAATCCCCTTCATTCTGCGACTTTTTGTTCAAGATGGACGAGTATGCTCTCCAGAATTAGAGAGCGGTCTTCAATCTTGGGATCCCGGCGTGTAGAAAACCAGAACATTGCTACCTCCAGGCAGCAAACAATGTATTTCTCGGCTGCTTAAGGTTTTTTTCGGCCGAGGTGCGGCGGACGCTTTATTGGAGCGATTGATCTCTCCACCATTGGCCAAGAGCTCCATATTGAGGGTATCAGAGTTCGTCCGCAAAGATTTATGTACTGGTTTCAAGTTGTGATTTAACGTAATCAAACTTGTCTGCACAAAGACACAAAAGCCTAATCCCTTGCCCAATGGAGTGGAGTCAGACTGGGGGTGACGAGGCTGAGATATTCAGCCTCGCGGGGAGAAATCGCTTAGTCATCGTGCTTACCCAAACCCAAGCACCCAAGAAAGGCCAAGGACAACTTCAGCCCCTCAGGCATCCCAGAAGGCATGCCCAGATCTCCTATTCTCGTGTCCCTGAATTAAAAAAAAAGCCAAACTTCTTTTTCTGTTTCTCTAAAGTATGAGTCGAGTTCCAGTCTCGAAATCTTCTCCGATAGTCGCCCATTATGGCCGAGGAAGCGGTGATTTTCCCCTCTCAGCCACTCTTCATGGTGGACAGAAGTTGGCAGCGGCGCAAAAGGGTCAAGAAGGACATCCACTCCCATGAGTTGGTTCTTCAACCCT